GCCGCCACTCTGTTGATATCTGTAGCTAAAGCTCTTGACTGCAGAAGATGGGCTCGGTTCTTCTCCACACCGTTGGGGGGCCTGCAGGGCCTGGTGGTTCTGCCTGCTCCCTGGGCCCCCACTTTGGCCCTCACCACGGTCTGATTGTAAGTATTTCTCCATCCTTGCCCCCAGCTCCAGGCCACGGTGTCCTTATGCTGCAAACCTGCCAGCAGGCCCGCCAGCTCCCCCCCCCCCCACAGTCAGCAGGGCACTCGAACAGCCTCTGTGGCCCATGATCGCCAAAGAAACCAAGGACGCCAAGTTCAGTCCCTCCCTTTTGCTAACCTCACAGCACAAACACTTTCACTCTGAGTTGCCCTCCCCACGCTGGGACAGTGTAAAAGCTGTCTCCCAGCGTTTCCGATGACAACGACAGAAGCAGCTGTCTCCGATGTCCACCTGCACATCGTGCTGGCTCCATTCTGGCTGGCCTGAAAAAGGTGGTCAGAAAAGAATTCTCAGCCCTGGCTGGTTTGGCTCAGCGGTTAGAGCGTCAGCCAGTGGACCAGAGGGTCTTGGGCTTGATTCCTGGTCAAGGACACATACCTGGGTTGCATATTTGATCCCTGGCCCTGGTCAGGGTCAAGTGGGAGGCAACCAATCGATGTGTCTCACATTGATATTTCTCTCTCTCTCTCTCTCTCTCTCTCTCTCTTCCTCCTTTCCACTGTTATCTAAAAATCAATGGAAAAATATCCTCAGGTGAGGATTACCTTTGAAAATGTCAAAACAATACTCTTTGAAGATGGTCTTTTCAAAGGGTGTTGGTGTGAAGCTGGATAGAAAAGTAGGCTGAGTAAAATCAGGAGAAATATTGATGACACTGATGAGATCGATAGAGAGAGAGCCAGTCAGGGCGGCTCCTGTAGGGAAACAAATAGCTGAAGGCCGTTGGAGTGGGGAGGCAGGTACAAGGCAGGGTCCGAGTCGTCAGTGAACACAGGGGGTCAAGAGTGTTGAGACACACAAGGGCACTAGGTAGCAGAGCCAGACTTTGTGACCTTCGAAAGAGAAAGGGACCTTGTTGGACCTCTCCTTAAAACGAAGTGTTTCCATGGACACTAAGAAGTTTCGTGTAATTTTAAACACATCTGAGCCAGAAGAATCCTCCCTTCTGTACAGGAATAACCACACTTGTATCACCCCCACTGAGCTTGACACACGTGCTCCAGAACCACTCCACAGAAACATTCCTTCTACCCTTTCTCATTAAAGAAGTCACCTGTCAGTGCTAGAATGAAATGGCACAGCAGCAGCCGTGAAGAGAGCTGGAGTCTGACGCTGCCTGTGCCCTTGGCTGTGTGAGTTTGGGAAGGTCATTTTCCCTTGCTGGACATCATTGTTCCCATCTGTGCACATTTATTCATCTATTAATGCACGAAACTCACAATATCTGTTGGAGCTTAATGAGTGCACAGTCCTAGGTGCTAGGGACATAGTAGTGAGCAAAATATACCTAAACCAAGGGGACTGCAAAGGACAGCCATCTCCCTTCCTCCCTGTGCCTGATGCTCTCCAAGTGAGCAGGTTGTAATGAAAGCTGTGCAGTTTGTTTCACGACGGCGCCGCAGCCCCGTGGGCCTTTGGGGGCTCAGCTAGAATCAGATTTGGAACAGAAGGACGGTTCCCACCTGGAGGTCCCGGGACGCCGAGGAAGTCCATGGAATTACTAATCACAAACTTGTAAACAACTGTTTCTAACCACTTTAAAAGAGTAAAATGGAAATTACACTCAACACAAATGTTTTGTATCACCACCTCAGTGATACAAAATTAAGTGCTCCTGCCTGGTGAGCACACATTGGAATGTACCCGTGCGCATGTTTCTGCTTTAAAATGGGAGGAAAGTGTTATTATTCTGCAATAAATAAAATGTAGTACCATGAATCCCCAAGCAAATTAAAAGCAAGGGGAACTTTAAAGAAAAAAATTTTTTTTTTTGGTAAGGCTCCTGAGTGGTGACCACTTGGGGAGCCTCCGCGTAGTGGGGCCCTGAGGGGGTACGTGAAGACCTGGCTGTTCAAACCCGCCTCTTGGTGCGTGGCCGCGGCCGTGTTCTCCGAGTCTCCTCGGTGAGACCAGACTAAAAGCTGACCTTTCGTGGAGTTGAGAGGGTTTAGTGGTGCATTTTATGGTGTCGTGTTGTTTAACATGACATAAATATAATAACAGCAACAGAACTCAGGGTGAGTGGGTGGAAAGAGCCTGAGATGCAGAGCCAGGCACCCCAAGTTCACACTCTAGTTACTCACAGCTGGGGTGGGTGATGTTGGACAAAAACGTTTATCCACTCTATTCCATGGGAGGACGCTCAATCCCGGAGCCACACCGGCCGGGCTATCCACTCTATTCTATGGAAGCCCGTAAGTGTTTTAAAATGAAAAATGTTATTGCCCTGGCCGGTTCGCTCAGTGATTAGAGCGTCGGCCCGTGGTCCGGAGAGCACAGGTTCATTTCCCGCTAAGGGCATGTACCTCGGTTGCAGTTTGTTCCTGGCCCTGGTTGGGTCGTGTGGGTGGCAACCAATCGATGTTTCTCTCTCTCTCTCTCTTCCTCCCACCCTGTCTGAAGATAAATGCAAAAATGTCCTCGAGTGAAGATAAAAAAATAAATAAATAAAATGAAAAGTGTTATTATTTTCACTTTTCTAGTCTAATGCATTGTGATGCTTCATTAACCCTAGATGCACACTGAAATAGGAACCTCACTTCAAAACCTGTCAGACATGGGATAGATGTTAGGAGCAAAGAAGAAAGCATATTATACTATTTATAATTAGGATATAACTAATTAATGATAGATTATTAAATTTGCTATATTACAGCCATCCTGGACCGGGGGAGGAAATAAATATCACTTCAACAGAGCAATTCAGCATTCGAGTTGGTCAGGTAAGAAATCCTCCGTCACCTCCAATCTCCCCATTTCCCCTCCAGTGAATCTCCAAGGAAGGAGGTGATTTTTCAATCTCTAGTCACACCTAATTGTCAAGTCTATTTTATCACAACACCTAAGCAATTAGCCTTAAGTCTAATTAGCATAAGACATGGTCCTGCCCTGCTGGCTGTGCTGTTCCTTCGTAGGTACCTGGCTGTGTCCAGAGGCCTGGCTGTCGGCAGCATTGCTCCCTGACCTCTGGTAGACTCCACAGCATCTGGATGCAGCCGGTGTCATTAGCTAAGACTCCCAAGAAGTGTCCTTTGGGCACAGATTTATTCATTGTTGTAGTCACCAGTGTTGCTACACACATTTGAATCACCTTTTACTTGGCAATTCTGCGTGGCCTACATGTAGATCCTATAAATTGTTTATCAACATCCAGCTCAGGAACACCCCCCCCCCCCCCCGTGAAAGTAATCCCATTAGACACCTCAAGCTCTCTGCATAAAACTAAGAAAGGGAAGAAAGGGTGGTGAGAGATCACTCTCACTGTAGGTAGGACCCTTACTGGAGAAAGAAGGCAGTACTGGAAAAACCAGCCCTAAGCCCTGGCCAGTTTGGCTCAGCGGTTAGAGCGTCGGCCTGCGGTCCGGAGAGACCCGGGTTCGGTTCCCGCTAAGGGCACGTACTTCGGTTGCAGTTTGTCCCCGGCCCTGGTTGGTCGTGCGGGTGGCAGCCACTCGATGTGTCCCTTCACGTCGATGTTTCTCACTCTCTCTCCCTTCCTCTCTCTCCCTCCCATTCTATCTGTACCAAAAATGGAAAAATATCCTCAGGTGAGGATTAAAAAAAATAAATAAAAAAAAAAAAAACCAGCCCTAAATCTGTTACCTCCCAACCTACCCCTGCTTCGCTGGCCTTTGTGTGTGCTTATGTTTGCAAATGGACTCAGCAAGCTTTAAAAGTACTGACGCAAGGGCTCATCCCAAGTTAATTATTATAATTAGGTGGGGGTGGGCAGCCATCAGTGTTTGATCATAGGTCCTCAAGTCATTCTATGCAACCAGTGCGTTCTAATTTTTTTTAAATCCTCACCCGAGGATATGTTTATTGATTTCGAGAGAGAGAGAGAGAAACATCGATGTGAGAGAGAAACATCCATCGTTTGCCTCTTGCATGCACCCCAATGGGATACCTAACCTGAAAACAAGATATGTGCCCCCACCTGAAATCGAACCTGAGACCTTTTGGTGTACGAGACAACACTCCAACCAACTGAGCCACGCTGGCCAGGGTGTAACCAGTTTTAAGAACAGCTGTGCGTCCACATTTTCAGGTACTTCCAAAACACCTTGCCCTTTCCACCAGAAGTCAGGGAGTGGGGACTAGGGGGCATTGTTAATAATGCGTAGGAGCTAACTGTTCCTTCTCAGAATCTATCATGCTGACAATCCATCATGTCTTTGTGGACCATATCCTCCTAGAGGATAATGTAAGTGCCTAAGGGAGTTCACCTGAATTCTTCCAAATGATGCACCGCGCTTATAAAGAAAGCCAGGTTGTGAGTGCATTTGACACTTTGCCATTCCCGTGTGTGCAAATGACCCACACAGCTCATTCTGACATTGGGACACCTCTGGCTGGCCTCCCGTCCCAGCCATGCGGTTCTCTTACTCATCTGCAGTTCATGCTTCTATGGAAATCATCCACAGACCTCTTCCTCCCCATCCCACACTCCCTTTTCCCACCTCTCAGCTTCTGCAGATGAGCCACACTATGGTTTGTTTGCTTGTTTGTTTGTTCATCTGTTTGTTCTGTTGTTGTTTTAACACAGCACTGCTGCTGAGCTTGGCCTTCAGCATGCACGGGCTCATTGCCTGAATATACTCATCAATACAAGAAAATAGCAGGCCAAGAATTACGAAATGTCTCTCCTTTGATTGGACTTTGCAACCAGGAAGTCTCTTCAACAAAAAACTTGATCAAAAACAAACAATTGTCCGGTCCTCTCCTCCTTTACTAATAGGGCCTCCACGGACCTGTCTGGCCATTCCACTCAGAGCTGCCTAACTCGAGAGATGTCGGCCGGCAGGGGGGTCGCCTTGGCAGCGTGGACATGCCTGTTAGAAATCAGTGTCCTGACAGCCGGGCCCATGCCCAGGTGAGTCCTTCTGTTTGTCTCTGCTGTTCCACTGTGGGCTTGGATATCTCATGCTCTACTTCTTAACGGCAAAGCGGATAACAAATTTCAACCCACACTGAGATATGTAGCCCCAGAGTTTAAACTTGGAAAAGGAGTAAGAACTCTCTTTGAGAGCTGTCTGTGAAAAGCCATCTAGGGATGCCTTTGAAACACGGCATTCACATGTTAAGGCTGAGATAGTTTTTTGTTTGTTTGTTTTTTTTTGTTTTGTGTTTAATTTATTGAGTTTAGAGAAAGAGAGAAACATCAGTTTGTGGTTCCACATATTTGTGCATTCATTGGTCAATTCTTGCGTGTGCCGTGACCGGGGATTGGATTCGAAACCTTGGCACGTGGGACGATATTCCGACCCACTGAGCTACCCAGCCAGGGCAAGGCTGAGAGAGACTTTACAGACTCGGAACTGTTTCGACTAGAGTGTGATAAACCTGGGTGTATCGGTGTCTAATGTCTGAGAAGCTTAAAGTTAGGAAAATGCATCTTTCCCCAGCTCTGCCTCGATGTCTAACACTTGACTATTGAATCCATCACTCATTAGCCCCCAGATTAGGCAAATTAATCCTTTTTTCCCCTCTTCCTTGACATCCCAAGTTGTGTCCTGAGGTACACATCTTGTCCTTCACGAGGGTGGTGTTCTTCCCTTTAGGGAAACTACCATGGTGCTGACCTGGTGGCCACGCACCAGCAAAGAAACCCACTTCCTCTCCCTTGGCTCAGACCCTCATTGGAAACGCAAATCCCAGGCCAAGCCGGCCCAGGAAACAGTCAGTCAGACAATACTGAACATTGACACTCCGCGCAGAGTGCTGGAGGACAGCCTCCTGTGACCCCAGACAGCATGATTTGATCGGACAGTGGTACTGAAATATCTTGGTCTTTGACCGGATAGCTGGGGGGAAATATCTTCCCAAACACTGTCCCTGTGCCCAGACATAGCTGTGACCTGCGGTCAAGTCTTCTTTGATCGTTTGACTCTTGGTTTAACCCACCTCTGTTTTGGGCTCCGACGTCCATCTCAAGCATCTCTGCCTGCCTCACGGCTGCTGGGAGCTGCCTCTCCGCCCGGACCCCCGGCGCACAGTTGCTCACAGGCTTCACCCCCCAGGAGCGGGCACACACAGGTGCTACGGAGGCCCCAGAGGGCTCGAGTCAAGTGCCCCACCAGCCTCCCCTTTACCCCATCTCTTCCTCTTCCCATGGTACCCGAGGAGCATCGTTCCACTTAGATAATAGGTTCATTTGCTGGGTATCGGGAACCAAGGGAGCTGGGAACCAGTTCCTGGAAGCTGCTATGACCTTCTTGTACTTGCCCGGACCCTTTCTTACGTTAAAAAGATAATAATTTAAACAACCCACATTCCTGGATTGTGATTCCTGTTGATTAAAAACGGGGAAGGCTTCAGCTGCTTTGAAGTTTGTACCCCCTGGGTCCTGGCCACGCGCGGCTGTTCAGGGAAGACCAGAGCCCCCTTGGCTGGCTCCCAGCCTCGAGCAGTTGCGCCGCGGTTGGACTTGGCTTCGGGCTCCCACCACCATGCCCTCGTGAGTTCGGTGGGGTTGCCCTGCCCGAACTCTCCCTGCTCTGCCCTCTGGGACAGGGTTGAGGTCAAAACAGAGCGTTCAGATCAGTCTTGAAGGGAGACACATAGTTCAACCAGAGAATAAAGTTGCAGAGAATTTTTTAAAATATGTGTTTGATTAGAAGGGAGCACGAGACCTCCCAAACTCAGTCCAAGAGCTACGACTTGCAAACTGACCCTTAAGTCTGCGCAAGCCATGCGCACTCTCTGTACCTTGGTTCCTGTCTGTAGGATGGTATTTATGTCTGTAGTATCACAGGCTTCTAACAACAGAAACGTGTTGCCTCACCGTTCTGGAGGCTAGAATCCGAAATCCGCATGTGGGCAGGGCCATGTCCCCTCTGACTCTGGGAGGGATCCTCCCTCGTTTGTGGGGGTGACCAGCTGTCCGTGGCTCTCCTTGGCTTGCAGTCACACATCTCAATCACTCTCTGTCATCACACACCATCTTCACATCTTTGTCCCTCGGTGATGTCTGTCTGATTCTAAATTTCTTTTTTTCTAAGGACACCAATCATATTGGATTAGGGTCTACCCTAGTGACTTCATTGTAACTTGATTTTTCTCTGTAAAGACCCTCTTTCCACAAAGGGCACATTCTGAGGGACAGGGGTTAAAATGTCAACAATTTAGCTCGTAACAGTGAACTGTGATGGCACCACCTGATAAAGTTTCTTGGGAAAGTCCAATATAACTGTAATGTACTTACAACATCTGTGCCTGCCACGTGGTAAGAACTCGATACACGTGAAATATTCTTGAACACAGTGCATTGCTGTTACTTCCGCTGCGATCTGCTTTCTGGTTTAGGAGAGGAAGGGAATAGACATCCAGGGGTTGTCCTGTGGCCACAGACATGTCATCTGAGAGCCACAGCGACTGTGAGCTACGGCTTTGGTGAACCGTGAGAGGTTTTCAATGACCATTTGTTTGCAAACATGAGTGTGTCCTTGAGAATAGGTCATGGGGAGGGATATCATCTCTTATGATCTAGAGATCGAACAGGAATATTAAAAACCACTGTGTTAATAGAATAATAGCTCATAACATAGATCCTGGGGCCAGAGCGCCTGTAAGTGACTCCAGGGTCCACAGTTTACTCGCTCTGTGACCCTGGGCAAAGTCCTGAACTTCTCCTACTCTGTTCTTTGCCTAAAGAATAGGAACGAAAACGCGACCTGCAGGAAGAAATCCCTGAGATGATAAACGCCAAGTGCTCAGCCCGGTGGCTGGCGGGTCGTGAGTGTGAAATGTTGTAGCTATCATTATGCCTTTCTTTTTAATTTGTAAGTAACAAAATATTTACATGGGTTGAAGAAAGTAATGAGGTGTACCTTCAGAAGCTTCGATGTCCCTACGCAGAATGTTTCATGAGATCCGTGTGACTATAGATAAAGTGTTTAGAACACTCCCGGCATCCACCTCACCCTTCCCCATGGTCAGCTTACGATCTTACTCTCTCCCCTTCTTGCTTAAAGATATTGTATTAGCCCCGGCCAGTTTGGCTCAGCGGTTAGAGCACAGGCCCACAGACAGCAGGGTTGTGGGTTCGATTCCCGGTCAAGGGCAGATACCTGGGTTGCAGGTTTGATCCCTGGCCCCAGTCAGGGTCATGTGGGAGGCAGTCAATCAATGTGTCCCTCTCACATCAGTGTTTCTCTCTCCCCCTCCCTTTCACTCTCTCTAAACATCAACGGAAAAATATCCTGGGGTGAGGATTTTTTAGAAATTAAGATTGAGAAAGATATCGTATTATATATACTATCTCCTACTTAGTTGCTTTCGTTTTGCCTCGCGGCATATTCTGGCGCGCTCTCTGCGTCTGTATAGAAGGAACTTCCTGATGCTCCTCGCACCCGTTGATTTTCCGTTGTGTGGCCACACGTCGAGATAACCCGTCTGTTACTGAGCGTCTAGGTTAGGTTGTAAACAGCACTGCGATGAATAGCCTTATTCATATGTCATTTTGCAGGCAGATTATTGAACCTGAGGGCTAATTCCCGGAAGCGATACAACTGGGGCAAAAGGTTATCCTTGAAATTGCCCCATGACCCTGTGGGGTTTGTATGACTGCACTTTTGCCAAAAAAGTCGGAGGACATATGATGCTTGTGGATTGGAAGGATTAGTATTGTTAAAATGTCCTTACTACCTAAAGTAATATAGAGATTCAACGCAATCCCTATGAAAATTCCAATAATAATTTTCTCAAATTACAACAACTAATCTTAAAAAGGAATATGAAACCAGAAAAAACTTCAAATAGCTAAAGAAACCTTGAAAAAGAACAAAGTGGAAGTTATTCTGATATGACACTAGACTACATTATACTATATGACATATCACATATATACTATACGATGCTATACCACATACATACTATATACCATGACACTGTACCACATACATACTACATGACACTGCGACACACACATACCGTATGGCACTGTGCCACATACATACTATCTGACACGACTACAAAGCTGCAATCATGAAAACAGTGTGGTGCTGCCATAAAGCAGAAATCGATGTGACAGTGCAGAGCCCAGGAATGGATCCTTGCTTGTATGGTCCATAAACCTACAACAAAGGAAGCAAAGATGTACAACGGGGTAAAGACAGTCTCTTCCATAAGTGATATTGACAAAACTGCAAAAAATACAATAGGACTACCTTTTTATACCATACACACAAATAAATTCAAAATAGATTAGACTTACATGTTAGACCTGAAACCATAAAACCCCTAGAAGAAAATAGTCAGCCCTGACCCGTGTGGCTCAGTTGGTTGGAACATTATCTTGTACATGGAAAGGTGGCGGGTTCAATTCACAGTCAGGGCACATGCCCAGGTTGTATGTTTGATCTCTGGTTGGAGGCAGCCAATCGACATTTCTCTCTCTGGCGCTCTCTCTCTCTCTCTCTCTCTCTCCCCCTACCTTCCTCTTTTCTCTAAAATCAATAAAAAGCATGTCCTTTGGTGAAGATTAAAAAAAGAAAGAAAGAAAATATAGGCAGAAACTTTTGGACATCACTCTTAGCAATATCTTTTTGGATATATGTCCACAAGCAAGAAAAAAAAGAAAAAATTAACAAATGAGACTACATTAATCTGAAAAGGTTGTCACAGTGAAGGAAACCATCAATAAAACAAAAAGACAGCCTACTAAATGGGAAAATATATTTGTAAATGATATATTTCATAAAGGGTTAATATCCAAAATATATAAGAACTCATTCAACTTAGCACCTAAATCAAACAATCCAATTAAAAAATGGACAGAGGACCTGAGACATTTCTCCTACGAGGATATCTAGGTAGCCAATAGACATATTAAAAGACGCTTAACATTATTAATTATCAGGAAAATGCAAATTAAAACCATAGTGAGATGTCCCCTCACACCAATCAGAATGGCAGTCATCAATATATCAACAAATAACAAGTGCTGGTGAGGATGTGAAGGAAACCTTCATATGCTGCTAGAGGTATTATAAATGAGTTCAGCCACTATGAAAAAAAAAAGTGAAAAAATTTCTTAAAAATTAAAAATGGAGTTGCCATGTGATCCAGCAATTCCACTACTGAGTATTTATCCAAAGACAAATAAAATACTAATTTGAAAAGATATATGCATTCCCATGTTCATTGCAAAATTACTAATAATAGCCAAGTTATGGAAGCAACCTAGGTGTCGATCAATAAATGAATGGATAAGGAAGATGTGGTGCATACATCCAATGGGATATTGTTCAGGAATAAAAAAGAATGGAATCTTGCCATCGCAACCACATGAGTGGACCTAGAGGGTATTGTGATAAGTGAGATAAGTCAGACAGAGGAGGACAAATACCATATGTTTTCACTTATATATGGAACTAAAAACAAACAAAATAAACTAATACAACAGAAAAAGACCATAGGTACCGAGAACAAGCCGAACCTTTGGGAAGGGGTCCAGTAGTGGAGAAAAGAGAATGCCCCAGCCTTGCCACCTGGAGCTCTAGGCCAACTTTGTGATATTTACCAATCACATGGGTTTCAAAAATGGTATCGTTGACGAGTGTTAATCTGCCTCTCTCTTTTTGAGTCAGGTTGCACGTCTTTTCATATGTTGAAAGGCCATGTGTCTGTTTTCTTGTGAACCGTCCGTATCTTTTGTTCATTCATTTTCTACTGAGTCTCTTGTCTTCCTCTCAGGGATTTCTGTGATCACTTTATAAATTAGCCCTTGGTCTCTGCTATAAATTACAAATATTTCCTTCCCAGTTTGCCATTCGTCTTTTGGTTGTATAAGTACTGTGTTTTTAGTGTAGTTACAATTTTTGTATTGATTTTGTCCTTCAGTTTTCAAAGAGGTAGGAAGCAGTACTAGACTGGAAGTTGGAAATCTTGAGAGTGACTAGATTTGTGCCCCTGGAGAGAGACTGCCTGGGTTTGAACCCTAACTTAGTCACCAAGTGTACTCTGCTGGACAACATGAGGGAAATGACTAACCTACCAATGTGACGGCTCAGTTCATCAAGTGTGATAATACTAGTAGTAGATATCTCACAGGACTGGTGTAAAAATTGAGATAATGAGTATAAAGCCTTAGAAGAATTCCTGACATAAACTGACACTCATAAATGTTAGCAATTATTGTTCAATTATTTTAATTAAATGTATCTCAACAATCTGGAAAAATATCTAAATACTCGTTAATAGAAAAGTTGGGTTTAACTATTAAATTAAGGATATTCAAAATGTCAATTTTTTTTCCCTTCTTTGGTTGTCTCCACTTGTGTTTTTAATATCCATATTTAATATGAGTTAACAGATACTTGTTGATCAACTACCATAGGTCAAGTATGGTCATTTGTTTATTTATCCATATTCAGGACAAGTTAACAGATTTTATTTATCCCCTGCTATCAGCCAAGTATGGTCATTTGTTTATTCATCCATTTAACACAGCAAACATGTACTAAGTGTCTCACAGATATGGGGAAGAGCATGAGGAATGCCAGGAAAGAGGAATAACCCCCCAGTGTCTAGCTAGGGTGACCACATACACAGAAGTGCTGTTTCCCAAGACAGTAAATGCAAGAGGAGGTGCAGCTTTGAGAGAAGAGGGGGCAAAGAATTTGTTTTGGGGATGCGTTGAGTTCTATGAGCCACAAGGGCATTTAAGTGCAGATGTCCAATTAGGAATTATATCCAAGCATTTAAAATTCAGAAAAGATGTACGGACTGCAGACTTATCTCTGGGTGTCATTAGCATATACATGGAAATCAAAGCCCTGGGCAAAGGGTAACGAGGAAAAAAAAATCCAGGGACAGGACCTTGAGGAAAAACATCATTTCAGAGACTATCAAAGGAGGACATGTCTGCACAGGAGAGCTGGAGAAAACAAAGAAGAAATGAAAGGTGTCTAGTGTCGTTCAGTCCAAGGGACGGGGCTGCTTTCAACAGCAAGAGTGGTCAACTGCATTGACTTCTGGGAAGAAGTCGACAAGACAGGACTTTGGCGAGAGTAGTGTCCTCGAGGCAGGAGGGTGAACAGTGATTGGGAGGTAAGCAACAAGAGGCCAGGGTGCAAACTACTGTTTCAAGAAAGTTGGCTAAAAAGATGAGAGCATTTGGGAGAGAGCTGAAGGGTCGTGGAGGGTGGAAGGAGGAGACGAGACTATTTTATTGTGGCTGAGAGAAACATAAACAGGTTTATAGCGATTTCTGTAAGGGTCACTGTGAAGGGAGATAGTTGCTGAAGGGAAAGGAGCTCAGAGAGAGTGTCTCATCTGCTTGTGCATGTTTCATGCCCCACAAAGACGTGAACACATTATCCCACCAATGGGAAGGAGCTGGAAAGGAGGGGCGTTTTAAATGGAGGAGATATTCAGTGGATCCGTCTCAAAGAAGAGCTGGGGTCTGGGGCTTGTGTGGCGTGAGAGGCTGCACTGTAAAAGAGTAAGTGCCAGCTACGGGACGTGGAGGCAGGAAGTTGATAGGACCCTTGTTTGGTGGCTTTTGTTTTGGCCTTTTTTTTTATGTCCTGAATGAGAGGTGACGTTGCAACCAGAAGAGTTCCAAAACGGTGAGCCAGGAGAGAAAGAAGAGGTCAAAGGCAGGAAAGCACTGCTGAGCACTGGGGCTAGGGGGGGAAGGGAAGGCGGTGAGTGCCCACATGCACGATGTCCACCCGCAGAGAGGGGAGGAACGAGTCCTGAAGTGGAATGTAAGTGGTAAGCCTTCCAGTTTCGGAATGCGGAGGGCAGGCCTGGGAACGCCTGACTTATTAGCTGCTCGCTCCGGGATGGCGGAGTTGGCTGGCTTAAATTTGCAGGAGACCCAGGCAACTCTAAAGGTTGCCAGACGGTCTGGGGGGTACAAAGTGAAACAAGGTGTGAAGCTTCATTAAATTCATCAACTACTTGGAAATACAAGGCCAATCAATGTAAGACACTTAGCAGGATTCCTGGCTAGTTTTCCTCGTCGTCCTCAGTTCTGTTGTTAGGTTGAAAGTAAAACAACAGCCCGGCCAGTGTGTCTCAGTTGTTGAACATCAACCCATGCACCAAGAGGTTGACGGTTCGATTCCTGGTTGGAGAACATGCCCAGGTTGTGTGCCCGATCCCCAGTCATTCAGGAGGCAGCCAATTGACATTCTCTCTCATCAGTGTTTCTCTCTCTCTCTCTCTCTCTCTCATCAGTAAAGAAAAAAATATTTTATAAAAACACAATTCAATACAAAAATTAAACAAAAAAGATGAGTTGAAAATGCAAAATGGTATGTGATCAAGGGATCAGTAATGGGAGGCAGAGTGAAAAGGTAAGTAGTATGATTTGGAAAGGGAACAAATAGTAAATAAATTAAACTCTGAGGACCTCTTGGAAACAGGCATGCACAATGGCCACAGTAAGTTGACGTATTCTGTTCTCTTAGTTATCACACAGAGCCAGAAGAAAGGATGGGCACTCCCTTGCCCATAAACTGCAGAATGAGCCCTTGGAGCGAATGGTCACGCTGCCACCCTTGCCTGAAACAAATGGTAAGCCTTCGACGCTCTCCCTGCTGGCGTGCCCGTCTGGGAACTGGCTGCCAGCATCGCCAGGGAAATGACCATGAGGCGGGGAGCCTCCAGCCGAGTTGAAAATTGAGAAGGAGCCCTGGCCGGTTTGGCTCAGCGGTTAGAGCGTCAGCCTGCGGTCCGGAGAGACCCGGGTTCGGTTCCTGCTAAGGGCATGTACCTCGGTTGCAGTTTGTCCCCGGCCCTGGTCGGTTGTGTGGGTGGCAACCAGTCGATGTGTCCCTTTCACGTCAATGTTTCTCTCTCTCTCTCTCTCTCTCTTCCTCTCTCTCCCACTCTATCTGTGCAAAAATTGGAAAAATGTCCTCGGATGAGGATAAAAAAAAGAAAATTGAGAAGGAAAGATACTATCTAAGTGAATAGAGGTGACCTTGCTGGGTAATGTGAATGTTGCAAGCTTGCTAAATGAGTGTCAGGAGGAACCATCTTTCCCCAGAGACTGCAGGTCCCAGAATGTGAGCTGTCCCTTTAAGTAACATTAGTGACTGTTTTTACGATTCCCATCTGAAAACCACAGACTCATGTGGGTTTGGAGGCCTGCAGTGGTGTGGGTGCAACTTTAGAGCATACCCCCCCTTTTGGAATTAGACATTCTAACATTTCCAACTGGTTTTGTGTAGTTTCGCTCAAGGAGCATTGTGACCTTTGGACAATTTAATGGGCAAAGTTGCTTGAGCAGTCTGGGAGACAGACGACATTGTGTGCCCACTGAGAACTGTGAAGACGCCGATGATGACTGTGGAAATGACTTTAAATGTGATACAGGTAATCCTTGCACTCTGGCTGCTTATTATGGGTCTCTGTGTGTACTCATGGGTGAAAAGAAGCACACTTCTAGACACTAGTATTTCCAACCGTGAAAGGGACCCCCAACTGGACCATCTGTATATTCTGTAGGTTCTGTAGTCACATGAATATGTGTTTCCTCTCCTCCCACGTTAAATTGCACTTGATAATGTCAGAGAGAAGGCATTAGACACAGTGTCTTTCCTGATTTTGATTGCAGGCAGGTGCATAAAGAGGCGACTTCTGTGCAATGGCGACAATGACTGTGGGGACTATTCGGATGAGGACGATTGTCAAGATGATCCCCGTACACCTTGCCGTGACAAAGTGGTGGAAGAGTCTGAGATGGGGCGTACAGCAGGCTACGGGTCAGTTCTCCTCTTGAATGTTCTGGAGAAAGACGAGTGGAAACAACCTCCATCTCTCTTGCTAAAGTGGTATAGGGCTTTCACTGGTAGAAAGAGTAGCCTGTTGGTCTGTATTCTGCTTGAACTGTGTTTGAGCTTGAAAGAGGGTAAGTGCTAAGTAAGTATGTCAAGGTAATTTGGACAAACTACCTGACCTCAGTACGTGTCTGTAGAATGGACTAGTCTATCAAGATATTAGATGATTACTCCTGAGTCCAGTAGAAGATAAAATGCCTCATTTATGAACCTTTGGAAGACCAGCAATGTTGAAATGACTTGTTAACATTTCAAACTGGATTGCCAGGATGAGGTCTGGCAATTCCGTTCAAATGTTCGAATTGCCGGGAAAACTATCTTCCATGGGGCAGATAGCCTCCTGGACCTGTAGCTGATTAGACATTCTCAGGAGGGTCCCGTTTTCTGGAGTTGACCCAAGAGGAACAGGGCAGAGAAAGCCATTCTGATCACAGTGTTGTGACTCTGGTTCTCATCACAGGGCTGAAGTTTCACTCAGCTCCTGTACAAAACATCTGGCCAGGTACGCTCTGGTGACGTCTTGGGCAGTTTAGAACTCGGAGTTAGACAGAACAGATACCATTTGCAGGGATCGGTGCTCTAGGACTTAGGGAAATGGTACTGGCCTGAGGTGCGATTCAGTTCTGTTCCATACAGTTAGAGGACATTCCATGGATGTCTGCAGCAGAGTCTCCATTCATTGTTCTGAGCAGTAAAGATACTTTGGTTGGGTTTGTTGGCAACTTATCGTCCACAGAGACATAGTTCTTCCCCACCCAGTGGTATGTTGACAGAGATGGCACATGGCTCTCTTTCATCCCCTGAAAGCAATGTGTCTCTTCATCCTCATCATCCCAGTGCCTGGTTTATAGTAGGTGCTTAACAATTACTGAGGGGTGGGTAAATAGGTGAATAAGTTAACTAACAAAAATAAGTGCTCTCTAAAATATTATCAGTTGGCATCAGGTAAGACTGAAACTGAGTTCCCAGAAAGAAATTCAGGTTCAGGACTCTGATTTTGAGACTGGAGATGGGGAGAGGAAAAAGATGGATAATGGTAAGAGCAAAGTTTATAGGGAGAGACTAGTAGCAGTTCCCAACCACAGGTGACATTCCCCCCAGGGGACATTTGACGATATCTGAAGACCATTTTGATGATCACACTGTTGGGTGATGGGATGGGAGGCTTGTCGGAGTGAATCCAGTGGATAGAGGCCCTACCATGCACAGGACAGCCAGACCCAAAATGTCAGTAGTAATGAGGTTGAGAATCCCTACCCTAAGGAACTGGACAGTTCCTAAGACTTCTGTAAAATATGGAGAAGCCTTCTCTCTCTGAGTCAGAGGAAACTCCTAATTCTTCAATCACATAAGAGAAAAATTCCAGGATGCAAGAGTCAGGCACCAGATAAAGCATTTCATACACCTTTTATTCACTTTATAAAATCTTGCTAAGCAAAGCAACACGCAAATTATTACACACAGTGCCTTTGGCCCGAAGCCTAAAGGTAGGAATTTTGAATCAAATGGATGGTCTAGGGTTCCAAACTCAGCAGGCCTCTTAATAACTGGCGGAAACGGTGTGGGAGTTGGCCAAAACCTTACAACAGATCACTGCGTGCTCCGGTGAGCGCTGGCTCTCGCTGCTTTCCTCGGTGAAAGCTCATTATTACTTTACTTTGCTTTACTTGGGATCCAAGGAACAGTCTTCTCCCCGATCTAAGTAAAAGAGCTTGAAGCGGGGAATTCCATATGTTATGTATTCTCACTCAATGCAAATTTACGTCGTGCCTTATAGGAAAAGGATACAGAAATCTTGGCCCATTTAACTGAAAAACAATTCTTTGTAATCTTTTGGTTTCCTTTGTTTGGGGACAAGAAAATGTGTCGTATAGCATTTGCCAGGGAGTTTCATACGGAGGCATCCCAGATTGCTGGCAGGGCTCCGAGGACCTCCTGCTTCGCCACCGTCAGGGGTGATGGCAGGAACATGCACCTATATTTTTTCCACTTGCTTTTTCTTCTCCTCACATGCCCATCACCACATCGCCTCCCCCCCCCCCACAAAGCCCACAGCTTGACACCCTGACTTCAAAGCAAAACGAACTTTATAAAATGAAACTCAAGTAGTATTTATTACCTAGATATTTGAGTTAAGAATGTAGAAGATTGATATAAGTTAGTAATTAATATTTAAAAAGAGGTATCAAAATAACACGCTTTATTATTTTTACGATATCCTTCCATACCATTAATAATACATATTGATTTACTACAGCTCTATGACTTCAACACAGAGCTATGGGACTACATTGAAGTGCAGGTAATAGATGTAAACATCCTAATCATAGCAACATGCTTATAAACTGCTTCTACACCATCCAGTCTGGAAGCCTCCACAAGTCTTATCAACAGTCCTATCCAGTCAGATTCTTTTACACATGAAAGTCACAAGTACTCATAGTAATTAATTTATACTTTTTTTTTTTTTTTACTTGTGCAGGGCTATTTATTTATTTATTTATTTATTTGGAAGGACTCTCATTTAAATTCTTATGCCAGGAGAATCCACTTGTATCACAAACATTTCAGCCTCTTGTCTTATAGACATCTGAGATGCTCCAGAAATGATTAGGGAAATCCCTAACCCTTCACGTGTTCACTGGGGCGGGGGGCGGGAGGAGTATAAATCCAAACCAGCTGCAAATGATGTACAATGCAAGGAGTTATTTTTTATGTGATCTAACCATGCCAACTCTTCAGTGGAGGGACTTTCTCTTCAGTTCACCTGGTGAGTTGGCGCTGCCCATGGTTCTAGATGCAGGTGTGAAAACAGGCATCTCCGCGTGCTACCAAAGAACACGTTTTCCTTTTTTTATTTCTCAGGCAATGACATTCGATCCATGCGAGGTTTTCATGTTTCTTGGCAGAAAGAAACTGGCTCATTCTAGACTAGACTGGCTGTCTCTGTAGTGGTGGAACCCAGTCAAAAGTTTTGAGACATTTCTTCCTTAATTGTGCTTCAGACCTTGGAGCACCTTCATGGTAACTTTCCAGATGGATCCAATCAACTGGTCGACTTGCTGAGCTGTAAATCAATAAACTGGGATATGGGTACCATGAGGTGCAAAAAGACTTTCCAGCCCTGGCCAATGTGGCTCCGTGGTTAGAGCATCCACCATGCACCAAAGGGTGGCTGGTTTGATTCCCGGTCAAGGGCAGGTACCTGGGTTGCAGGTTCAATCCACTTTGGTCAGGGCATGTGCGGGAGGCAACCAATCAATGTGCCTCTTTCACATTGATGTTTCTCTCTCTCTTCCTCCTTCTTCTCTTCTTCTTCCTCCTCCTCCTCCCTCCCTCCTACTCTCTCTGGAAAAAAAAATCAATGGAAAAAATATCCTCCAGTGAGGATTAACAAAAAAAAAAAAGACTTTCCAAGGGGGAGACTGGTATGTTTTAAGATAATAGTTTCCTCAACTATTAGTTACTTACCCATGGTAAATTCTCAATTGTGTACATATATTTTTTTTTCCATAAAATTTATAAACTCAACTCAGTGGCATTCAAGTTGTCGAGACCAGTCTCCTTTCTCACCTCCCCTTCTACAATCACTTACCTCCCACTTTGCAAAAGGCTACACCCCTCGCCCAGCTCACATTTCACAATGGGATGGACAATGAGCGACGACTCAAATGTTAACACCCAACTGGACTCCAGCTTTGTAAGTCAGGGGGTCTCAAGTTCTTTTCATCAGCAACATTAAAAATATCCTAATGAATTGTCAGATAAGGGACTACAAAAAGAATTTTTGATGAAAGACGAGCACGTAATGAAAGAATAGTCTTGGCCTAAAACTCAGAAGATCAAAGAACTGACATCACTATGACACAATTTCTTCTGTTCTTCTCTACTTCTTTATATGAATCAAGTTTCTCAGCATTTATTCCTATAAAAATAACATAGGAATAAAAGTGATACTGAACCCTGTCTGTTTTCTTCAAAGCAATAAGTAATATTCATCCACTAAGAGAGAAGTGGTTCATTTTAACTCTAAGGTCAGCCTTGAGCAAGAATTCGTTTCTTAATTTGCCTCCCACTGAAGTTGAGCTATAATGTTCATTTTCTTTGTAGATTCAAAGCTTATTAAGAATGTGCTATTCATATAAAGATGTTGTTTTAAACTAACCCACTGGAAGAATATCCTTTTATTTATTTATTTATTTATTCATTTATTTATTTTTGCATTAGAATTGGGTTTATATAAGCCATTCCCACTCGGATAAGTCGCCCTTGCGACCCTTGTCTCAATTTGTGAGCCAGCTCATGGGAGGCAGGAATGGGGTCTGGAGCCTCGGGAGCGTTTCCGCCCTGGAGCCCGGCGCAGTTACAGACGTGAGGCTCAGAGCTCAGGCTGGCCTCCCGGGCCTGGGCCGCTGCCTCCTGACGCGGCTTAGACGGCAACGAGGAACAAAGAATGAGCTGCTTCTTGTCCACGTATTGACTTTAGGTCTACACATCAAACTTACCTTCTTAAGAGCTACACAGGCTCCCTGTTTCTGAATGAAAGCTTGCCACATGAACCCATTTCTCTGGGAGAAAAAAAAGTAGGACTTCTGAGAATGTCTGGCTGGGATGCTGAAACGTTAGGGTTCGCCTTGGAAACACGGGACTAATATAAAGACAAGCCCGGAGGGACTGAGGTTCTTGATAAGCAGTGAGATAACCAGAGGAAAGGCTGAGGTTAACGAGGAAGCAGAGCTGAGGAGCCCCGTGTTGATTCACGGGTTAAACATTGCCCGTGTCTGTTGTATGTACCCCTGAGGTGCTGTGTTCTCAAATAATTTAAATGGGTGGAACTACAGCATTGGCTCTTAGTTCTCTAGGGCGGTCAGCTGAGAGTTGCGGTAATTGAGGTATAATGAATAATATAATGCATATAAAAAAGAAGACGCCAGGTGCCTGCTGGCCCCTTGCTCTGCATTTATGGCGCCTCTTTCGTTGCGCTCTTCACAGGGTGCCAGTTGCCTGAGAGAGCCTGCAAGGCCTTCCTCAGGGCTGCCTTCTGCCAGAGACACAGAGCAGAGGCGAAGGGGCCCTCGCCTCTGTCCCTGATTACACCACACTCGCTGGGTGGCCCGGACCGGAGCCAGCGCCCCTGTCCCCAGCAGCAGAGGGCTGCCTTGCACTAGCTCCTGGTGTCTCCCTGACCCATGCTCCTGTGTTCCTTCCCAGGATCAACATCTTAGGGCTGGTGCCCTTAAACACGCCTTTCGACAACGAGTTCTACAACGGACAGTGCGACCGCACTCGGGATGGAAACACCTTGACCTACTACCGCAAACCGTGGAACGTGGCCAGTCTGACCTACGAAGTAAGTCTCCTCAGAAGGAAACACGCGGTTCCCATTTTAGTTGAAAGCTGCTTCAGTGAGTTTAATAGTAAACAATGGGGAAAATTTAGTAGCTAGGAATTTCATGTGAAGATAAGATTGACTTAAAGAAGAGGAGGTAAAACTCGGCTTAGAAAAGACACAGCAGACCACAGCGAACCCTCGGTAACAGGCACCTGCCTAGTGATAGTTTCGGCAAATACCTAGAATCACCCAAGAATCGTCTACGGTTCTGATAAAACTGAAAATTCAATTAGTGCTGATGTAAGGATTGAGTACACGGCGTTCACGCTACTTAAGGTTAGGTTTTCCAGCCTATTAATGAAAACTTGACTCTTGTTTTTCTTCAGTAACTCAAAGCCAGCTTGATTCATGTGAGTGGCTATTGTCACTCACCTCAAACCCCTCTAGCTCTCGTGACACTGTTCCTCAACTGCCACTCCAAACTTCCCGACTTCCTGAAAGTCGCCTGCACTCTTACTTTTTATTTTTATTTTTTAAATATGTTTTTCTTTATTGATTTAGAGAGAGAGGAAAGGAGAGGGAGATAGAAACATGCATGTGAGATAAATCACCCATGTGAGAGAGAAACATAGATGGGCTGCCTCCTGCACGCCCCCTACTGGGCATCGAGCCTGCAACCCTGCCATGTGCCCTGACTGGGAATTGTACTGAGACCTCTCAGTCCATGGGACAACACTCAATCCATTGAGCCACACTGGCCGGGCAAGAAACATATACTTTTAAATAGCTGTAGTTAATAGTCTGGACTATTCGATTGGCATTGTTCTCACATGTGACCACATTGTCATATTTTTTGTTCCTATTAATTCAGAAGGGAATTGGTCTCAGGGAATATTTTGAATTAATGATCTTTCTCCATCTTTCCAGGTTTACCTCCTTTCAGCAAATTTTTTTTTTTTAGGTTAAAATGATGATCTTTCTAGAACGGGTTATACATTCTACTTTCTTAAAAACAATATACCGAAGATAAGGTGACCTTTGTCACTCCTGATGGAGGAAGGGTTGTTGTGTTGCTTTATTTTGTTCTTAGTTCTTAGGTCTACATCATCCAGTTTTCTTGTCTTAGTTGCTGTGCCCAAACTCTTAGCTTCTCTGTAGAGGTAGTCACTGGGGAGGGCTGGTAAGGTTCCGGGACAGATCTTGAAGCTGCATTTGGAGAGTAGTCGCCCTGTTTCTCCTTATCTGCAACCCTGGACACAGATGTGCTTCCTCATTCAGAATGTTTTGAATTTTACAAAGCAGAGGTGGTGCACTCCACGTATACTGCTGACATCCCAGCGGAGTTCAGAGAAGCATCCCATGATCAAGCAGGAATGTTTTCGCAGCAGAACTAGCCCATGTTCACACAAAGTGGGAGAAGTGAAGAGTATAAATATTTATATGTTTATAGACTCAGATCAGATTGATGCTCCAAATGAATCCATCAAGATTATAGAAAGGAAGATGTGGACCTGAATATTTATGTGGTACCATCTGAGGAAGGGTGCCGACCGACGGAGTTGGCTTAAGGCTTGCTCAAGTCCCAGATCAACTCCTTGGTGCTCTTACTGCTGGTGACCCTTTGTTCTAGTATGCTCTGGTCTTGGAAAGTAAACAGCCAAGCTTGTTTGTACTCAATAAATGTTATTTATTATCATTAGCATATTGGAGCTGCATATTAAATTGAATACATTTTTATTAGCATCTACTACATGCCAGGCAATTTACTAGGCGATATTGCAGCATGGGAATAAGACAGATATTGTCCCTGACTTCTTGGAGTTTACTATCTGAAGGCCTATTAAATAAGAAATTATAAGAGGAAAGGGTTTTTCATTTTGTTCTATTTCAAAAGAAGAGTCATGAGAGCTAATAGAAAGTGGATGTATTAGTCTGTGGGATCAGGAAAAGCCTCCCTGTTGAAGCTAAGACTTGAAATAGGAGTAAGAATTAATCAGGGCAAGGGGTCTAGTACGCATGTGTGTGAGAGGATGTGTATCAGTGTGTACGGTGTTTGTGTTATGGGAGGTTGGAGGGGTGGTGGTGTTGGAGAACATTCAGAAAGTATAAAAGGGCCCTGTGGTGAGAAGAAGCATAGGCTGTAAAGAGAGAAAGGTGCCGAGAGGGCTTGAGCATAGTCAGGAGAGATTAGCTTGGAATAAGTCTAGTTCAGACTTTATCTTCTAAGCAGTGGGAAGACTGAAATAGTTTAAGCAGGGAAGTGACTTGGTTAGGTTACACTTCCTCCTCACATTGAACAATTTCCCCAGCAGGCCTTGCTTTAAAGAAAATTATATGCATTTTTTCCTTGCCCGTTATAGATGCTAACTTTAGGTGTACCAACATACCAGAGAGGGGGTAACTTAGAAACACCGGAAAGGTATTTCTCACAGTCCAGAGTGCTAGCGTGGTCATGTTAGGACCCTCTCTGGGTCACAGATCGCATGTTGTGTGCTCACAGGATGGAAGGGGCTCGGGAGCTCTGTGGGGTCACTTCACAAGATCACTAACCTCACTCATGCAGGCTCCTCCCTAAGGTCCCACCTCCTAAAACATCACATTGGGCATTAGGATTTTAACATATAAATGGGAGGGGCATAAATATTCAGACCATAGCATTCCCTGTGCAGAACAGTCACCCAGTGCATGCTGTTGAATCTAATCAATGCCCCTGACAAGAGAGGGTTGTCTCCTTCCCAGACAGTGTAACACCCTCTTTCAGGGGACCTCTGGAAAGAGCTCAACCATGGAGATTAACAACCCTCCCACTGGTACCTGACAATAGCCGACTTGGCGAAGAATGTTTTAGTTGGAAGCTTTCATTTTTAACTAGGTTGTTTGTTTCAGAGGTGTTTTTGTTTCCACGTAAAAATGAATGTCGCGGGGGGGACCAAAGCGCCCAACAGCACAACAGATTATGCAAGAAAAAGTGCTCCCCCTCCACACTCCCGGGTCACAGGTCCACTGCTCGAGGGCAGAATTCTAGCCGTCTGTCTGTATTTCCAGGGATTTTCCATGTATATGTGTAGGTGTTTATTTTATTTATTTACTTATTTATTTACAGGCAGTAGAATGTAAAGGTTAAGAGATAGTTCAAGTCTCAAGTCCTGGCCTCTCTACTTAAGCTAATTAACATGTGTAAAACGCACAAAACCGTCCCTGGCCCATAAGCCGTCCAGAAGGATTCGCTTTATCATTTCTTCCTGTCATTTTCATACACAAGTGGAAGTATATTGTGCATCTGTTACGCAACTTGCTTTTTAATTATTAATATATTAACTTTTGAAAGCTTGCTAAGTTCTGAAACTTTCATGTGCATGGTCTCATTGAATCCTCACTGTCCCCTGTGGGCCAGGTGGGTGAGTATCTCTGTGTCACAGACTAGGAGTCAGACTTGGCAGACAGAGGTCGTCGCATTGTCCTCCAAGTCGTGGGGCCTGTGTGTGACGCCAGCCGTCTCATCTCAGCACTTTGACTCATACCTCCATTACAGGCCACACTGCCTTCCAAATAAGGGGTGGGGGAGGCTTCTGTGTTTATTGTGGGTGGGTTTTGTATGTTGTTCTTTGCAACACTTTGTTATTCTCTTTTAGACCAAGGTTGATAAAAATTTCAGAACAGAGAAATATGAAGAACATTTTGAAGTGGTCAAATTCATCATCCAGGAGACAACATCAAAATTTGGTGCACATCTAGGTCTGAAATTCACACCGACTGAAATACTCTCTGCAGTTAAAGACAAAATTCCGTCGGTAGGAAATGCCATGGATGCACATGGGCCGCCTGGCAGCAAACACCAAAGTCCTTCGGAAAAAAAAGACTCCCCGGGGCCTAGTGTTCCCGTCAAGTTTGACAGTTCGTTTCGATTTAGTTATTCCCGAAATGAAACCTACCAGCGGTTGCTTTTACTTTCTTCCAGGAAGGTAAGACTGAACACTTCATACAGAGAACACAATGGGATACTTTTCAAACGAACCAAACTCCCTCTTTTAAGTGTTTAGAGCAGATCGAGCTCATAAGAGAGAGAAAAAATTAATACTCCACAAATCCTCCAATATGCTGCTAGAAGGTCAGGAAGAACGGTGACTGGAGGGAAGTACAATATGAAATCTTGAGTAATAGTCAGAGATGTTTGGTGGTAGTGAACAGACGAAAAGTGTATTCGGAATTCAGAGCATACTTATTTTTTTAACTTATCATGTATTACAGATGTCGCCCCTTTTACCCCCCATTGACCCCCTCCTCCCCAATCCCACCCCCTCCTGCCTTCCCACACTATTGTCTGTGTCCATTGGTTATGCACATATGCATAGAAGTTCTTTGGCTTACTTTTTGACTGAGATTGTGGAAACAGGCTGTTCGATTTAAGCTGTCTTCAGAATTACAGTGGAAAATCATACTGTATAATTTTGGTAATTCATTGCAGTGCCTTAAGATGATGACCCTGTACTTACTATAAGTTGTCTCTAAAGTAACAATGCCATAAAATTCTACACGTTGCATATGAACTCGGTCTGTTTACTTTGTAATTATACCTTTAATTTTAGATTTTAAAAATGTGTTTGTTTTTTAACATTTTAGCCATATTTCAAAAGTTTCATTATTATTGGAATAGACTATAATTTCTGTAATAAATATAATGCTTATAAAATGCTCATTCTGCCCTGGCCAGTTTGGCTCAGCAGTTAGAGCATAGGCCCACGGACCGATGAGTCATGGGTTCGATTCCTCAGTTGCAGTTTGTCCCTGGCCCTGGTCGGGTCCTGTGGCAGGCAACCAGTCGATGTGGCCCTATCACATCGATGTTTCTCTCTGTCTCTCTCTCTCCCTCCTTCCCACTCTAGCTAATGATAAATGGAAGAGTATTCTCTAGTGAGGAATAAAAAAAAAAAGATCATTTTTCCTTTTTTGATATCACAATCTCCTATTTAGACACCCTTCTCTCACTTTGAAAATAATAATACTTCACTCGTAGTGCTTATGTTATGTCTAAAGATATAATTGTTTTAGATGGGCCTGTACCTTGCCTATATTCACATGAACACCTACCTAAAGTGTGCATTTGGCAAATCCTTTAAATCGTTCAACAAATATTTATTTGTCGACTTGCTTTGTGGCCAAGCCCTGCCCCAGGTGCTTGAAATCCATTTGTGAACCAAACTAGCAAACAGTCCTAGTCCTGTGCTTGTGGATCAGCAGGGGGAGACAAACAATAAACACAACAGCAAAAAGGGAAGCTACATAGCATTTAGCCACTGATAAGTGCTATGGGATGAAATGGAAAAAATAGAGCGCATGAGGGCAATCAGGAGCGCGAGGCGGGTGGCAACAAAAAGGAAGCTCGGGGCAGGCTTCATTGGGGAGGTAAGAGCTGAACAAATATTTGAAGGAGAGGATATGACCAAATAGTTATATTTGGGATAATCGAGCTGGCAAAAGAAACTTTTAGAGAAAAATCTCTAATATGGGAACGCACCTGCCCATTGGGCCAAAGTAAACCAGAAGAAGAAAATGTTGGAGAGGTTATCTTGAACCAGGTCATAAAGGACCTCAAAGCCTATTTTAAGAGTTTTCTTTTTCTCTGAGTAATATGAGAGGCTACTGGAATCTTTTTCATAGACTACTAATAGACCCTAATACATACATATATATATATTTTTTTTTTTTTTTTAATTGTCACCCGAGGATATTTTTCCATTTTTGTTCAGATAGAGTGGGAGGGAGAGAGAGGAAGAAAGGGAGAGAGGGAGAGAGAGACAAACATCGATGTGAGATGGACACATCGACTGGTTGCCTCCTGCATGACCCCAACCAGGGTTGGGGACAAACTGTAACTGAGGTATGTGCCCTTGACCGGAATCGAACCCGCAACTCATTGGTCCGTAGGCCAATGCTCTTACTGCTGAGCCAAACCAGCCAGGGAGACCCTAATATATTTTAAATGATTACTCTTGGTACTCTATTAAGAAAAAATTATGAGAGCTAAGAGGAAAAACAAGGTTGGCTAAAAGTTATTGCAGGAACCCAGGTGAGAGATGATGGTAGTTCAGACAGGACAGCTGTAGAGTCAAACTTGACTGAGGTTCTGAGCCTGAGTACATGCAAGGATGAAGCTCCAATCAACTCAGACAGAGAAAACTTCAGATACAACAAGTCTGGAGGAGAACACCAGTGCTTAAGTTTTAGTTAGATTAAGCTAACTAAAGGATGAGGATGAGATGTCTATTAGACCTTGCATTGAAGATGCAAATGGGAACTTGGTGTTATGATTCTGGAGTTTGGGAATGAAGTCGAGTTTGAGCTATAAATTTGGGAGTTGTTGATATATCAATGGTGCTTAAAGTCATAGGATGTGATGAGACCACTAATAGAGTTCATGTAGATATAAAGGAGAAGCTCAGAGACAAAAATCCAAGGCACTTCAGTGGAAAGTCTGGGGAAAGAGGAGGAGCCAGCAAAGGAAAGCAAGATGTGGCCAGTAACACCCTACAACTTTGCTACTCGGTGTGGTTCATGGACCAGCAGCATCTACATCACTGGGAAACTAGAATTTCAGGCTCTACCCCAGACCTACTAAATCAGAATTGCATTTTAACAAGATTCTCTAGTTGGCTTGTTCACACTTTACAGTTTGAGAAGCACTTCCCTAGGAAGTAAGAGAAGAAATGATATCAAGGAGAAAGGAGTGAGAAATTGTGTCAAGTATACTAACATGTATGTCGAAGACGATGAGGACTAAAATGCAATCACGGGCTTTAGCATTTTGAAGGTCATTGGTGGTCTCAACAAGGGAAGTTGTGTCTGGTTATAAGGGCGGCAGCATGACTGGATTAGATTTCAGGGAAACTGGGGAGAAAAGAATTGGAAATAGCCAGTATAGAAAATTCTTTAAGGGAATTTTGCTTCTAAAGAAGACACAGATATAGGTAGCAATGTTTGGAAAAGTGAGGTCAAGAGGGTTTTTTTTGTTAACTCCTGTAAGATGGAAGAAACAATAGTGTGTTTGAATAGGAATGACCTAAGGTTTACTTCTAAAATAATTTGAGCCAAAGCACATAACCTCTTTCTGACGAGATATATCTAATTGTAGCAACAATTGCAAAGGAATCCAAATATGTCTTGTGCATCTTTGAAACTCCGCTGAGAATTATTACGCAAGTCATCAGATGGAGAACTCATATGACTTATTATAGATACAGTAAGTTCCTTTAGGATTTTTGTTAGAGACAGAACCACTCACTATCACCTGCAGTTAAGTTAGGCAGTGTAAACAATTATACTTCCAGAACACAGAAAGTTTAGTGTGATGTTCATATACACTGAGATGTACCTTTAAATGTTTTTAACTCCCAAGCAATCAACATGTGCCAACCACAACTACAGCAGGAGAATCTTAAAAGAATCATCTACAGAATCATGGATGCCAATTGTAATTCCGTTTTGGCTGGGTCAGTCTACAGCACTGAATCACATAGTTCATCCCTACTCCAGTTTTCTCTCAGAAATTTAAGCCATCATCCTGGGGAGCTGTGTTAGTTTGGCCTGAGACCCATGTCGTAAAACATTGTCTATTCCACCTCTGTTATCAAAGATCAAGAGGACATAGTAGAAAAGAGAGAGAGACCTGGGACATAGGCTCTTAATACCAGTTTTTGCCACAGACTATTTGTGTCAGTTGGGACAAATAACTTAATACTTTTGGATCAGAGTTTCTTCATCTACCAAATAAAAAGATTGGATTGCATGTAGAATGTCTACATTTCCTTCCATCATTAACATTTTTAATCAATGTAATGAGGTATAATTTGCATACAAGAAAGTGAGTTTTGACTGTTACATCCACCTGTGCAACCACCTCCTCAAACAAGATATAGCACATGTCCATGACCTCAAGAAAAGTCCCTCATGCCCTTTGAGGTCAATTCCCTATGACCTGAGAGGCAACCAATGACCCAATTTCTCCAATCATAATAACTCAGTTTCACCTGTTCTAGAACTTCATATAAATGGAACAATACAATATATATTCTTTTGTGCCTGACTTAATTCACCCAGCATAATATGTTTTATTTACTTATGTTGTTGCATATATCAACAGTTCACTTCTTTCTATTGCTAACGAGTATTCCTTCATGTGAACATACTACAATTTGTTTACAATTCCCCTGTCGATGGACATTTGAGTCATTTTCAGCTCTAAGCTCTTTTGACTAAAGCTGTTATAAAAGTCTTATACAGGTCTTTTTGTGGCCTGCTTTTTCATTGATCTTAGGGAAATTTCTGAAAGTGGAATTACTGGCCATAGGGATGCCGTGTGTTTACTTGTATAAGAAACTGTAAAACAGTTCTCCAAAGTGGTCACACCATTTCCCACTGCCACCAGCGATGCATGGAGGGGTTCCGGCAGCGGCACCTGCTCACCAACAGCTGGGATTAGGAGTATTTAAAGCTTGCCGTTCCGCCCTGGCCAGTTTGGCTCAGCGGTTAGAGCGTCGGCCTGCGGTCCGGAGAGACCCGGGTTTAGTTCCCGCTAAGGGCACGTACCTTGGTTGCAGTTTGTCCCCGGCCCTGGTTGGTCGTGCGGGTGGCAGCCACTCGATGTGTCCCTTCACGTCGATGTTTCTCTCTCTCTCTCCCTTCCTCTCTCTCCTTCCCACTCTATCTGTACAAAAAATGGAAAAATATCCTCGGGTGAGGATAAAAAATAAATAAATAAAGCTTGCCGTTCCACTGGGTTAAAACGATATCGTACCGTCACTGCTAAAAAGTGCATTGCCTGTGGAAATTTCTAATTTTGTGACTTTTAAATTTGAAATAATGGTAATAAAACTCATGTTTATTTTCTTCTGCTCTACAACAAAGGAAAAAACGTTTCTGCACGTGAAAGGAGAAGTGGATCTAGGAAGATTTGTGATGAAAAATCGAAATGTCGTGCTGGCTCCAACTTTCTTGGATGATTTAAAGAATCTGCCAACTACCTATGAAAAGGGGGAATATTTTGCGTTCCTGGAAACCTACGGAACTCACTACAGTAGCTCCGGGTCTCTGGGAGGATTATATGAACTGATATATGTTCTGGATAACATTGCCATGAAGAGAAACGGTATATCTAGAAATAGAGCTCTAACTTCTAATGTTTTAACCAACCATTATTCCTACTGCTGACCTCTGTCAACGGTTACAGACTTTAGAACAGAGTCATGTCCACTGCTTTTTTGAGAGCACGCTGTCCCTGCCCTTTGACACCTAAAACTGTACCAAACAGCAAAGGGACTTCTACCTCAAACAAGACAACGTGCTCATGCACGAGTCAGCAGCAGAAACTGTATTGCAATTTAATATCATTGGTGATGCTCCTTGTCGTGAAGGTCTATTTAAAAGATGAAAGTATGAGAGGCATAGTGTGTATAACCTATTTCTTATTCGGTAGACCCTTTCAATCATATGTGTCATTATCTTTCAAGTATTCTTCAGTGCTAGAAGGGAAACGTTCTGAATTGTCTCCAAGGGAGAAGGGAGGGAAACAATGTTAACATGCTATAAGTCTAGCATCTTAAAGCAAGGGTAGAAAATTCGTTTTACTTTATGCGATGACGATTCCAATCGTTTGGTGGTAGTGGGGTGGGGTCCGTGCTGAGCAGGTGTCTGACCGCACTTGAAACCAGAGAAAGAAGGCCGTGGCCCTTCACCTGCGTTTGCCACATGCACAGGGTAGGTCTCTGCGCCACATAGCTGCCCTCCTGGCCTAAAGATGCAAAGGCACTGTGGTAATACAGTTTAAGGATTTATTTTATAATTCTGGCGAGTTGTAATACTCCTTACAGAGGTCGGAGATGCCGGCGGGGCTTTGCTCTCTGCCCTCACATTTCCGGTGTGTCTCTGAGGGAGGGACGTGTTGCCGAGAATCACTTCCCTGGCTCCCCCTGTAGCCCGTGGCAGCATCGAGTGAAGAGTGCGATGTATCCATGACCTTAAAGCCTGACACTGTCCCACAGTTGTAAACACATCATGAGTCATATAAGTATGACATGGCCGGAAGCAATTGCTCTGAATGCCTCCGTCGAGCTGGGGCAGGCAGAAGCCTTGCCTGGGGGAGTGGCCTGTGCGATGCTTGGCTGATGCCGCCTCACAGGGCTGAGCCTGCAAGGGAGCCTGGTGAGGTCCCTGAGGCCTGCCTGGCACACTGCACCGATAGATCACATGGGGCAGGGGACCAGAGGCCATCTCGAGTCATTTGAAAATCAGTAGAGAAAGGCTCGGCAGCTGTGATCAAATCACAGGGAACCTTTCAGGCTAAGACTTCGTGGGTGAAAAATTTCGAAGGGCTGAAAACTTTAATCTTAGAACTATAACTTAGTATGACCTATGTCCCTTTTAAACAAGGGATACCCTTATATGTCCTTTGCCATTAAGTTGGTAAGCGAAGTCAAAAGGAGGCCACTAGATTCAAGTACAAGGACAAAGCAGGACAGATATGACCTTGCATTTGCATTCAGTAATAATGTCTAGGAATCCAAGGATGTTTCTGAGAAAAGAGCGAAACTGGAATTTATGTATGATATTGATAAATATTATCTAATAATTTTCCACTAAATACATTAAACAGGCGTTGAAGTAACGGATGTCAAGAAATGCCTCGGGTTTAATGTGGACATATCTGTGAATGTTGTAATTGAAGTCAAAGGAGGAGTTGATAAAAATAAGTGTGTGAAGAAGGTTAATGGTAAAACTGGTAAGTATGGCTTAACTTCCTAGGTTTCAAAAGGGAGGTCCTATCAATGAGCACTGCCCATCGCTATGAGCCCTCTTAGTGTCTACCCTCTTTATTAAAAACAAAAACAAAAAAACTAGAAGTGTTTAAAAACTGTTTTATCTTTACAGTGGTTTCCGAACCATTATAAACACAAGCAACCCATGGATATGTATTCGTCAGTGTCGCCATGTGCGGATGGTGCAGTGTGCAGCTCTAGGGGGCGCTGTTCACACCGTGGTCACTATAGATTTGCACCTCTAAGATGGCAATGGTAGACAAATACCCGGAGAAAAAATTTTCTTTTCTTTTTCTAATTTTTTTTTAAAGTTAACCATACTTTGGTTTGTTTTTGTTTTTTTTAAATAGTTTTCTTTATTGATTTTAGAGAGAGAGGGAGGGAGGAGAGAGATAGAAACATCAATGGGAGAGAACATCAACTGGCCGCCTCTTGCATGCTCCCCACTGGGGATCAGGCCCACAGCCTGGGCGTGTGCCCTGACTGGGAACTGAACCAGCGACCTCTTGGTGCAGGGTCGACGCTCAACCACTGAGCCACACCGGCCAGGCTCTGCCTCTAATTTTAACGAAGGTCTGAATAAACTAATGGCAGTACTATATGTGTCTATTAAGAAAGGAAAAAGCCAAAACCCTCTTTCTCATTCAAAATTCCACCCAACTAGAAATTCCTAATTCACCTTGACTCAGTTGGTCAAGGGGTACAAACATCCAGTTACAAGATAAGTAAGTACTGCGGGTGTAATGTATAACATAATCGCTATACGCAATTAACAATGCTGTATGGTGTATTTGAAAGTAACTAAGAGAATAGATCCTAAAAGTTCTCATCACAAGAAAAAAAAATGTTTATGTTAACTAGACTCATTCTAGTAATTATTTTGCCATATATATATAAATTATTTCTCAATTATATATCTCAATAAAACTGAAAAAAGAAATCCCTAATCCAACTTTAACATAAGTCATTGCATAAACCTTTTAAAAATATAAATATCATTAGTAAAAATATTACCGCTGATGAGGCAGTGCTGGAGTTCTCGGTTTTTAATCAGAAAAACCGGAGCATTTTCAGAAATACAGGTGCTTGAGACTCACCTGCAAATGGCAGAGAAGCAGAAAGAAGCAAGCCTGGTGTTGGTCAAAGCACAGCAACCCTTAACACGTGGCCATGGCTGAAAGCCACCGATGAACTGAAAGAAAAGCTGAACTTGTCATCAAATTGTCATCATTTCAATATTTTGCCCTTAATCTGACTGTAACGTGGGGCTCGTCACCCCAACTCCCTGAGTCTCAGTTTTCTCATTTACAAAAATGAGGAAGGATAAAAAAAAATCATCTTGAAATTTTTTTTCAGTTCAAAGAATTCACAAGTCTAAAAGATTCACAAAAGTTTGTTTAAAGTGGTTTAGCCTGGCCCGGCTGGTGTGACTCATTGGATTAAGGGTCATCCCATGGACTGAGAGGTCCTGGTTTGATTCCCAGCCAGGGCACATGCCCCAGTTGTGGGTTCAATCCCCAGTGGGGGGCACGCAGGAGGCAGCCGATGGATGCTTCTCTCTGACATCACTGTTTCTATCTCTGCCTTCCTCTCTATCTAAAAACTCAATAAAAACGTACGTGTGTGTGTGTGTGGTGTGTGTGTGTGTGGTTTAGTGTAGAGAGAGAGAATGAGGGAGAGGTGAATAGGGATTTTAGATGGAAAGAAATTTTGCTTTCCACTTTAGTCTTTCCTGAACCCTAAATTTTTTTTTTATAATATTAAAATCGTTTAAAGCAAACAAATATGAAATATAATGATGAAGGTAAGTCTGCAACAAAAACATTATAGCACATTTAGCCCTGGCCGGTTTGGCTCCGTGGTTAGAGTGTTGGTCCATAGACCGAAGGGTCATGGGTTCAATTCCCAGTCTCAAAGGCATGTACCTGGGTTGCAGGCTAGTTCCCAGCCCAGTCAGGGTTGTGTAGGAAGCAGCCAACCATGTGTCTCTCTCACATAAAGTTTCTCTGTCTCTCTCCCTCCCTCTCTTCCACTCTATCTAAATAATCAATAGACAAATATCCTCCGGCCCAGCGGTGCGGCCCATGAGTGTCGACTCCTGCACCGAGAGGTTGCTGACTTGATTCCCGGTCATGGCACATGTCCTGGTTGTGGGCCCAATTTCCATTAGGGGCCATGCAGGAGGTGGCCAATTAACGTTCTTTATCATCGATGTTTCTATCTCTTTCTCCCTCTCCCTCTCCCTTTCTCTCACTCTAAAATCAATAGAGGAAAAAATATATATAAAGAAAAATATCCTCAGGTGAAGATTAACAACAACAACAAGACATTATAGCACATTTAAAGTTGTGTTTAGTCCTTTTGTGCACACATGCTTAAGTGTGACCTTTGAATTACCAGTGCATCTCAATCACAGTACCATTTTTATTTATTTTTTTAAATAGATGATTGAAGTCTACTAATAAAAATTGCCCTTGGAGATTTGGGGTGGAAAAGTTACATAAGTAATATTTACAAGTAAGATTCAATAAATATATTAGACTATACTTTATGAAAGGGGTTCAATAAATGTTTATCCAGCCCTGGCTGGTTTGGCTCAGCGGTTAGAGCGTCGGCCCGCAGACCAGAGAGTCCAGGTTTGGTTCCCGCTAAGGGCACGTACCTCAGTTGCAGTTTGTCCCCTGTCCTGGTTGGGGTCGTGTGGGTGGCAACCAGTCAATGTGTCTCTCTCATATTGATGTTTCTTCTCTCTCTCTTCCCCCCTCTCTCTTCCTCCTGCTCTTCCTGAAGATAAAGTCCTCTAGAGAGAATAAAAAATAAACAAATAAAAAGTAATAAATGTTTATCTAATATCACAGAATTAAAAATGCTCGACTCAGCCCTGGCTGGTTTGGGTCAACGATTAGAGCATCGGCCCAAGGACCAGAGTCATGGGTTAGATCGATTCCAGTCAAGGGCACATGCCTCGGTTGCAGTTTGTCCTCAACCTTGATAGGCGTCATCTGAGAGGCAACCAATCGATGTGTCTCTCTCACATCAATGTTTCTCTCTCTCTCTCTCTCTCTCTCTCTACCCCCCCCCTTCCCCTCCCTCCCTCACACTCTACACACTCTATCTGAGATAAATAGAAAAATATTCTCAGGTGAGAATTTTTTAAAATGCTTGACTTACATCGTCTTTCTCTTCTTAGTAAACATCACCGGGGACGGCATCATAGATGATGTCGTTTTATTTATAAAAGGAGGAACCAAACAATATGCAGCTCAACTGAAAGAGAAGCTCTTCAGCGGAGTCAGGAACATTGACGTGACCGACTTTGTAAACTGGGCATCTTCCTTAAGTGATGCCCCGGTGCTCACAAAACAAAAGGTAAGGCCTGCTTACTTTCAAGTAGAGAGCTGTCATTCTCCTATTCACTGTCACTGTCCGTTCAGATGACCAATCGTGAGCATTCAGATGCTCTCCCATCTCAACGGGGAGAAGTATGCCATAGAAGAAAGGCGCCAAGTTGGCATCAGACCAACCCACGCGAGCTGAAGTCTCTGTCCCGCACGAGAGGTGTACTATTTTCTGACTTCCGCAACGCTGAATTCTCCAGGGCTCCAGGTTTATTTTAAGAATGTAATAAGATTACAGGTACAGAGCCTATAGCACAGACTGGCACAAGACAGGTGCTCAGGAATTGTTCATGCCCTTCCCTCTGCCCCTGGTTGTCCTTGCCTGCGGGTGGCGTCCCACTACCACTTCCAATACGGGAGAATCGGATTTGTTAAGGGTCGTAGTAAAAGGGATGCTCATAAGGTCTCCTTTGTGGGAACTCACAGGAGCTAGTAGTCCGTAATCTCCATTTCAAGGCCGTGTGTTTCTCTGGGAATTAAGTTTTGCTCACTGCACGTGATCGTTAAGTTCAGTGGTCTTACTCAGCGCTGGAAGACACAGCCCACGTGTGACCCGCCTTGGGCAGAGGGTAGGTGCCCTGAGTTCTGTGCTTCATGTTGCTTTTGCCTTTATCTTTCCTTTCCTGTTCTCAGTTCTCCTTTTTTCATTTCCCTCGTCCCCTCTGCTCCCCGGGTCAGGCTCTACTAAGCGGTTTCCGGGAGAATGTGCAATCATGGAACAATTAGCCTGCAATTTTTGTTACATTGTTTGGCTCAGCACCCAGCGCTGAAGGGCATCAGTATCTAAAGAACTCTGTGTTCTAGTCATTAGAGTTCTAATACAATGAAAATCATTCCTACCTCTCTTTTCACAGAGATAAAGATAACACTCATTCTATCAACAAACTACCTTTGCTACAAATCATTTAATTAGTTTGGAAGCCTGTAAGAAAGCTAAACAGTTCATATTATAATATTCATACAACACTTAATATTATAATAACCTAAGTACTTAATATTGAACTATATTGTCACTTTTGTGTGTTTTAGCAAACTCCGTGACAGACTACATCCACTGAAAACGCATCTGTCTACAGATGACAGGAAGATGGAGTTAGCTAGGATAGAAGAAGAACTATAGAACTGTTTTCTTACTTAGCAGAAGGCCAAAGTTCATCCGAGAAAGGCGCTGTCCGGGGAAACTTCACAAAGTGCATTTTAATTGTGCTTTGTCCTCTTGTGGGGTTTTGATTCCCGGGTTCGAGTTTCCCCTGAAACTGCTGTGCGCACATGGCCTTCGTCTTTATCTCTTTGAACACTTTCTGTTTCACCCAAACTCTTTTCTCCACGACCTTCTCTTCCCGTATCTTCAGTTATCTGGCCTTGACTTTCCTTTGAAGGGCAAAACCAGATAAATTTCTTTCCTTAAAAATCAAAATAGCTCTGCCACATGCTTGTGCTGTTTGTGCCCATGCGGCAATCCTAGTGAGTGGTTTCTTTCTCCCAAGTGAGCACGACGGAGCTGGCACCGCACCCCGCATCCTCTCGGGGTAACGGGGCACTGCAGGCGGCCCGGTTCGCGGGCGTGCGTGCTGTGTTCTGGGTGTGCGACGGGTCTCCTGTCAAAGTGTTTTCAGTGTGTACTCTCACTTGAGACCTTTCACCCTTTCAGGATATTTCTGACAACCAATTTCCTCTGATTTACTTCTTATTTCGAAATTATTCAGGCTTACTATAAAGTTGCAGAAATAGTACAAACTGCACAATTGCAAAATAGCACAGAGTTCACATATACCCGACCCCCTGAAGCCCCCGATGTTAACAACTTACATAGCCATCGTACCGTTATCGAAATCAGAAAATTCACATCGAATCACGGACCTCACTTACATTTCACCTGCCCCCCCGAATGGCCTTTCCTGTTCCAGGACCTGAGCAGGACCTCGCTGCCCTTAGTGTTCATGTCGCCTTAGCCTCCTCGGGTGTCTGACAATTCCTCAGGCTTTTCCTGCCTTCCACGACCTTGACTTTTCATGATATTGGTCAAATGTCTTGTGTCAAATGTCTCTCAGTTTAGGCTTAGAGTAGATCGAGGTTGTGCATTTTGGGCAAGAATATCACAAAAGTGATACTGTGTCCTTCTCAGTGCATCTTATCAGGAATTATGTTGTTGGTTTCTTTTTTTAATTTTTAATTCACAGTTTGCACTTTTGTGTCCTATTTAAAGGTGTTCTCTACCTCAAGGTCATAAAGATGTTCTCCTAAATATTACCTTCTGGAAGCTTTATTGTTTAACATTTGCATCTACAATAAACCTTGTTGTTTTTTGTGTGTGGTATAAGTTAGAAGGTCACTCTTTAAAAATTCCCTATGAATATCCCTTTGTCCTAGAACAACTTATATTGTATTATCAATTAGTGGCATATTTTTATATCTAGGAAAATCAAATATCAGTCTACTTTCAAAGTGTGATGGGTTTTTTTTACTTAGCTGCTCTTAAGATTTTCTCTATCATTTTTTTGTGGGTTTTTCTTTAAAGCAGTTTTACTCTGATGTACCTGGGTGCAAGCAAAAAACAAAAAACATTTTAACCTTGCATTTTATTAATGAAGTATCTTGATGTCTGTCACCAGGATTATAGTATTCTTAGCCATTAGTCTTCAAATATTCCTTTTTATATAAGCTCTCTTTCTGGGACTCAAATCACGTGGATCTTTTCCCTTCTCACTCTTTTATGTTTTGTACCTTCTTTCAGTGTTTCTCAAACTTTTATCTGTTCATACGTCATTGTCAATATTCTTTCTTCTGACCTATATTTCAGGCCATTAACTTTGTTTCAGTTGTAACACACCTGCCATTTAACCAGTCCATGAATCTGTTTATTGTAATATCAAGTTCTAATATATCTGTTTAGTTTTTTAAATCTTCCATTTAAAAGCATAGCTCCCTGTTCTCTGCTAACCTTTGCAAGCTGTCTCCCCCCCTGCTTACACAGCCACGTTCATGCTGTGCCTGAGGGCTCAGCCCTTGGCTTCCCCAAATGCTGTTTCCAGTTTCTCTTATTTCTGTGCTTCTCAATCACGTTGCTTTGTTTCCTTGTGTACCCAATTATTTTTATTGTAGGTTGGAGATTATACTTTAAAAATTGTTAGAGGAGTGGCTTGAAACCTGAGTTGATATTATTTTCCCCCAAAGGAAATGTGTATTTCCATCTGGAAAGCTTCTAGAGTCTAAGAATTTAGGGTTTGTTTGTTTTGTTTTGTTTTTAATGTTTTTCTTTATTGATTTTAGAGAGAGAGGAAAAGAGAGGGAGAGAAACATCGATGAGAGAGAACATCGACTGGCTGCCTCCCGCATGCCCCTCATTAGGGATCAGGCCCACAGCCGGGGCATGTGCCCTGACGGGGATTTGAACCGGGACCTCTCAGTCCGTGGAACTGACGCTCAGTCCACTGAGCCACACTTGCTGGGCTCCTCCCAGATCTTTTTTACCTTGTTAATTCTTTATCACTTTGTTAGTTTTTCAGGGTCTTCAAGTAGATTTTTAATTTTGGTTTTATTATGCTCAGCTTTTCACATTCTCCTCAGTAAGAGGATTAGTTGACAATGTTTACTCCATCATTGCTCTTCTGCGGGAATTGCTGCTACACTTTTTCTTTCTACTTTCTTGAGTCTCTAGATTCCAATTTCTTTTATTTATTTATTTTTATTTTTTTATTTATTTATTTTTGTTGTTGTTCAGGTAGAGTGGGAGGGAGAGAGAAGAACAGAGAGAGAGAAACATGGACGTGAAAGGGACACATCGAGTGGCTGCCACCCGCACAACTGACCAGGGCCGGGGACAAACTGCAACCAAGGTACGTGCCCTTAGCGGGAACCGAACCCGGGTCTCTCTGGACCACAGGCCGACGCTCTAACCACTGAGCCAAACCGGCCAGGGCCCAATTTCTTTTAAATTGGGGGTCTCTCGTTTCAAAGTCTGTGTCACCAAAGGGCCTCATTTTGTTACAGTTCTTTCACTCAAACAGTTCTTTATTGTCACGTAATTGAATTTGCTTAATTTTAATGGACATATGATGCAAGTTTTCAAATATGTTATGGTACCTCTACTATGTACTTGATCTTAGCCAAATGGCCAAGAAGCAATGGTACCCCTACTATACGAACTTTTTAAGTTCTGTGCGGTATAACTGCACGACTCCTCTTTCTTCCTCAGCACCCTCAAATCTCAGCTGAATAGTCATTTTCTCAGTAAAGCCTTTCCACACATCCCTGATTCAGTTGTAGCTACTTTGCATCTTACTCCAGAAATTTAACTGTGCAAAATAAATCATTTTACCCACTTTCTTTAAGTCTCATTAAATTTGAAAATAAGATCTTGTTCTTCCATAATGCTGGAAAATGTGTCCTTCGTTTATTTGTTGGATGGGTTTCTGGAAGGTTCTGCCTTGTTGCCTAAATTAATACAAAAACCCTGATGCTTCTGTTGGGGAGATGGGGAGATGAAGTATGTAAGTATTGAATCGACAGTGGTCACCCTGATAACCTCATTGGTCACGTTCACATGTTCACTTAGAGTCCAGTGATTCCAAGCCTTCCATACCAAGATTGTGCGTGGGGATCACTAACAAAACTGGAACCCTGGCCTCAATATCCAGGGTACTCCATGGGGCTTGCTACTCCCCAAATTAACCACCAGAGATCTAATTATTAGTTCCTGTTCCATGGGGTAGATGCTAACTCTGCCCCCTCCCTCGTCTGGAAGAATCTCCTCCTTCAGTAGTATCCTTCTCATACATTTCCCAGCAAAAGTTTCCCAGTGAGTTCAGGCTTTTAGAGAAAAAGTCAGTAAGAAGTGGACCTGCAGGGGATTCTGGACTTGGCCTTGCACACCAACCTCCTCTTGGTTAAGACAGGTGTCTGGATACCTTCTGAGAGAGGAGAGGGTGGGGAAAGGCAGCAAAACGACTCACCAAATAGTATGCCAACAAATCACGCCAACAAAAATTTAAATCCACGATTGTTCATTTTCAAAACACACATACCCATCCTTATAGCACATATCATAGTTTCCATTTAAATTTATCTGCAGGATTATTTTAATATCAGTCTCCTTATTTCCATCATGTCACCCATGACCAGAGAGATCATGACTCATTTTGGTCCCTAGAGTAGTCCTAAAGACTACCATCAGATCTGGCGATAATAATCCTTCCATTTTTTGAATCAGTTAATTAATGAATAAATAGTTCAGTGAGAATGCTACAAGCTCCGTCAGTGGAAAAAGACCTAACAAAACGTTTTTGCTTCCTTGCAGCTGTCTCCTATACAGAATCTGGTCCCAGTGATGCTGAAAGATGCACACCAAAAGAAAGAACATTTGGAGAGAGCCATTGATGATTATGTCGAGGAATACAGTGTGCGAAAATGCCACCCGTGCCAAAACGGGGGGACTGTGTACCTGCTGGACGGAAGATGCCTGTGTTCCTGCCCGATCACTTCCGAGGGGATTGCCTGTGAAAAGAGTAAACGAATCGAACTCCCAGGTGAGGACAGCTTTTTGATACCATGAGGAACAAGGGTATGTACTTTGGGGTTATTACCTTGAAAACTCTGTCTCTCGTCCATCTTACGTGTCAACCTGATGCTTTGTCATCCAAAAAGCATTTGTATTCTCCCGAATTCCATGCTATTGGTACACAGGACCTCTATTTTCTACCTGATTTTCTCTTTCATCAATAGTCACATTTACTGTCCCTACATAAGATGAGTATCTCCTCTAGTTGGGAAATGTGTCTTATATCCCATACTTCCTTCTGTTCCCAGCGCCGGGGCAGACTCTGGCACACCATGGAATAACAGGCTGAGGGGACGACTAAATAGATGGGTGAATGGACCCAAAGTGGAAGTCCTGTTAATCATTAAGATTTGACAACCCTTTGTTTTCTCTAGTGTCACCAATGGAAGAGAAATAGAGCTGTTGGCTTCCCTGGGGTCTCATGGAAGGAAAAACACCAGGAACACTACGACTTTTAATTTAAGATGCTGCCCGTGGAGATAATCCTTGCTGCCCAATGAAAAGCAACATGCTTCATGCAAATTCTACCAATCTCTGAAGTCTCCTCTCTTCTTTTCCTCTTTAAACTCCTATGATGTTTCCATTTCTTTTTCCCTAGTGAGGAGACTCAGCCGAGAAATATGCCAGGACTGCTTCCTCCCACAGGCAAGACAAATCTCTTGCTCACAAATAAAAATTAAATTAAAAAGAGAATGTTGGTTAGAAAGACTAAATTGGCAAAGTGCTTGGTGTGAGTACTAGGTTCTGCCACATTCACTACCACAAGACAGTACCATGCAGTTTCATTCCTGTTTACTTAGTTGCATCTTTTTTGGTCCTTTGCTGATATGTCCATGAATTCATTCATTCAGCAAACCCTTACTGAGCGCCTACCATGGGCACAGCACTCTGCTGGCTGGTCTCAGCTCTCCAGTTTAACTCTGCATGTCCACAGGGAAAAGTCTATTGTATTTGTAACCAAAAATTGTATGAAATTGCCACTATTGGGTCATATTTTACACACACACACACACACGAGAGAGAGAGAAATGAAAACAGTGATTCATATGATCTAACTTAATATCTACCCTTATGAGTTGTATAAGGTAAGGCTATACATAAATTGTTTAAGGGAGCTAGTTGTACCATTTTATGCATTAGCTACGATGGTAGTTAAGGACTGAGATCTTTGGAAAGATCTGATAGCTCTATAAAGGAAGGAAGGGAGGGAGGGAGGGAGGGAGAAGGGAGGGAGGGAGAGAGGGAGGGAGGGAGAGAGGGAGAAGGGAGGGAGGGGAGGAGGGAGGGAGGGACGAAAGGAGAGAGAGTAGGAAAGAAGGAAAGAAAGAAGAGAGAAAGATTCAAAGTACTAATGGAAAAAATGCAAAATCAAAGTTAATAAATATTTAATTAAATGTCAACATGGCCCTGGCCGGTTTGGCTCAGCGGTTAGAACGTCGGCCTGCGGTCCTGAGAGACCCGGGTTCGGTTCCCGCTAAGGGCGCGTACCTCGGTTGCAGTTTGTCCCCGTCCCTGGTCGGTCATGCGGGTGGCAGCCACTCGATGTGTCCCTTTCACATCGATGTTTCTCTCTCTCTCTCTGTTCCTCTCTCTCCCTCCCGCTCTACCTGAACAAAAAAATGTCCTCGGGTGAGGATTAAAAAAAAAAAAATGTCAACATGTATCATATCAATTCCATTGTCATTCTTATTAATTAACACTTCATGCATTTATAAATAAATTCAAGTTAGTTTTTCTCAACTTGTGGAAATTCTCAAGAATGTACATAATTGCTGAAAGATCACATTAAATAAACTACTTATTGGCAAATAAATAAAAAAGTAAAATTTTAAAAATACTATTCAAGTTTTTTAACAGCAAAGGAAAAGGTTATTCGATATGGAATGCATTTAATTTTTTAATTAATTGTTTTATTGTCCTTTTATTGAATCTATTGGGGTGGCACTGCTTAATAAAATTATACAGGTTTTATATGCACAATTCTACAACATCATTGTACACTGTTCTGTGTGTTCACCACCCCAAGGCAAGTCTCTGCCCATCACCATTTATTCCTCCTATACCCTTTCTACCTCTCCGCACCCCCTTCACCCAAGCAATCACCATGTCCATGAGTTTTTTCTTTTTCTCCCTTTTTTGCTCAATCCCTCCACGCCCCCAACCCAGTTCCCACCGCCCTGACAGCTGTCAGCCTGCTCTCTATGAGTCTGTCACTATGCTGCTTGTTGTTTTGTTCATTGGATTCCACATATGAGAGAGACCATATGGCACTTGTCTTTCTCTGAGAGGCTTATTTCAGTTAGCATAATCTCCAGGTCCCTCCATGCTGTTACAAAAGGTAAGATTCCCTTTTTTATGGCTGAGTAGTAGTCCACTGTGTCAATGTACTACCACTTTTTTATTCACTCATCTACTGATGGACACTTGGGCTGCTTCCAAATCTTGGCTAGTGTAAATAACACTGTAATGAACATAGCGGTGCATATATTCTTTCAAACTGGTGTTTTAGGTTTCTTCGGATAAATTCCCAGAATAGAATTGCTGGGTCATAAGGCAGTTCTATTTTAATCTTTTTTCTTTTTAAACTTATCTTTATTGTTGAATGTACTACAGATGTCTTCTCTTATTCCCACCCTGGCCCCTCCTCCCCACTCCCACCCCCTTCTTGCCTTCCCCACACTATTGTATCTGTCCATTGATTATACATATATGCATATAAGTTCTTTGGTTTATTTCTTCCTGCCCCAACCCACCCCATTCCCTTTGAAGTTCTTCAGTCTAACAGCCAATTTGTACATTTTTTTTTTTTTGTAGATTCAATTATTGATGGATATGTATTTAATTATTGACATTTTATTGTTCATATTTTTGTTCTTCATCTTCAAGAAGATCTGTCAACATTTCATATAATATTGGTTTGGTGGTGATGAACTCCTTTAGCTTTTTCTTGTCTGAGAAATTTTTTATATGATCATCAATTCTAAATGATAGCTTTGCAGGATAGAGTAATCTTGGTTGTAGGTCCTTGCTTTTTATCACTTTATATATTTCTTGCCACTCCCTTCTGGCCTGCAAAGTTTCTATTGAGAAATTGGCTGACAGTTTTCCCACCCCGCAACCCCACCCACTGGGCTGAGAGTCTTATGGGAGCTTCCTTGTAGCTAACTAACTGCTTTTTTCTTGCTACTTTTATGATTCTCTCTTTGTCTTTAACCTTTTGCATTTTGATTATGATGTGTTTTGGTTGGGCCTCTTTGGGTTCATCTTTTTGGGACTCTGTGCTTCCTGGACTTATATGTCTGTTCTCTTCACCAAGTTAGGGAAGTTTTCTGTTATTATTTTTTCTCTCTCTTCTCCTTCTGGCACCCTCGTAATGCGAATGTTGGCACACTTGATGTTATCCCAGAGGCTCCTTACACTATCCTCATTTTTTCGGATTTTTTTTCTTTTTGCTGTTCTGATTGGGTTTTGGGGGGATTTGGGGGGGGGTTGTTTGTTTGTTTGCTTCCTTATATTCCAAATCAATGGTTTGCTTCTTGACTTCGCCTACTCTACTGTTGATACCCTATAAATTATTTTTTATTTCAATTAGTGCATCCTTCATTTCTGACTGGTCCTTTTTTATGTTCTTGAGGTCCTCACTAAGTTCCTTGAAGTTCTCATGAAGTCCCTTGAAATTCTCATAAAGTTTCTTGAACACCCTTATAACCTGTGTTTTGAACTCTGCATTCGTTAGATTGCTTATCTCAATTATTTTTAGTTCTTTTCCTGGAGTTTTGTTCTGTTCTTTCAACTGGGACATGTTTCTTTGTCTCCTCATTTTGCCTGCTTCCCTGTGTTTGTTTCTATGTATTAGGTAGAGTTTCTACATCTCCTAGACTTCCTAGGGTGGCCTATTGTTGTAGGTGTCCTGTAGGGTCCAGTGGTACAGCCTCCCTGATCACCACAGCTGGGCCCTTGAGGTGCACCCCTAGTGTGGGCTGTACACCCCTCTGTTGTAATTGAGTCTGATTGCTGTTGCATGTCAATGGGAGGGATTTATGCAGGCTGATCAGCTGCAAGGACTGGCTGTGCCCACTTTCCACCAACCTCTGACTACCTTGGAGGATCAGCTGTGCAGGGGCCCACCACACAGAGCAAGACGTACTTCAGCAGGGCTCTGGTACCCACTGAGTCCACCCCTTGAGTGTGTCTCTTGTGGAGGTGGCTGGTGGTGGTGCTTCAACATGGTCTGAAGCTGTCCACTGGGTGTGCTGGCTCTGGGGCAAGGTCAGCCACTCTCCGTGTTCTACCTGAGGCCACCAGGCATAAGTTACAATGTGATCTGCAGATGGCTGCTTTTTGTGCTGGGCTTGGAGGTACCCAGGCAAAGCCAAGCTGTGAAACAAGGCTGGCTGCTTGTAGTGCCAGGCCTGGGGCCGCTTAGCGAGAGGTATGGGGCTCGCTAAGCCCAGATGCTGCTTGTTTGAGAAAATTCGGGAAAATCTGAAGGAGGAGCCAAGACAGGCCAATCCTATGGTAAAGCCTTTGGAAACAGCTTGGGTGGGCCTCAAAGTTGGATGGGGCGGGACCTCTGGGAATCACCAGGGTGGGGAGAACAGTGTGAGCCAGGTTGCTGGAGTCCCAGATATGATATGGCGCCTGTCTGCCAGGCCCATGGGGGAAGGGCTCACCGAGGGAACAAAGGCCTCTGCCAGCACGTCTTTCCAGGAAAAAGCTGCCCCTCCAACTCTCACCCCAATGCCAAACAACTCAGTTCTTCCTCGTATATCTCTGGCGCGGTTCAAGCTGCCTCCCCAACTCTGGAGCCTGGAGGGAGCGGGTCCAAGTAAGTCTGTGCGTGGCCTTTTAAGAGACACTTCTGTGACTCCAGAAGCCTCATCCTCTCTCAGCCTCAGTTCCCACTGGTTTTTACAGCCAGAAGTGATGGGGACTTCTCTTCCTGGGACTTGAATCCTGAGCTGTGGGGCCTGGTGTGGGACAGGGACCTTGTGTTCCTCAGGGAGGACCTTCATTGCCGAGGTGTCCCTCCTGATTTTTATCCATCACACGTGGGTGTGGGACCAACCCTTCTGCCTCCGCCCCTCCTACCAGTCTCCGTGTGGCTGCTTCTTTAATCTCATAGTTGTAGGACTTCCGTTCAGCTCGGTGTCAGGCGGTTCTGAATAATGGTTGTGCTGTAGATAAGTTGTAATTTTGATGTGCCTACCCACCATCTTGCCGGAAGTCTCCTATTTTAAATTATTTGAAGTAACTCCATACTGTTTTCCACAGTGGCTGCACCAATCTGAATTCCTACCAACAACAGTGCATGAGGGTTTCCTTTGCTCCACATCCTTGCCAGCATTTGCTGTTTGTTGATTTATTGATGATAGTTATTCTGACAGGTGTGAGGTG